ATAAAAGAGGTCAAGATGAGCTCAGAGGAGAAGTTTGAAATAAAATGAAACATTTTGTAGCGTATTTTTATAATTAAAGGAATTTCGAAAGCGATTTGAAGTAAGAATAGAAAACTAATTCCTACATTAAGAATGTACGACGAAATTGTAGAAGGAATTAATGACAGGCAATGAAATTAATCATGGTAAATTTCAAAATTATTAAGATTAATTTAAGAAAATTTACCTATAGGTTGCAAATTCAAGAGGAATTTCAAAGAAATTCAAAAGAATTCCAAAAAAAAATCCAAAAGAAATGCAGAATTTTGGGATTTTAGAAGGGATAGAAAGTAGAAGTAAGAGTGAACGTAGTCAGAAGGATTAAATTTAGTAAATTGAATCTAAAATCTGAAATTTATTGAAATTAAATAATGAAAAGAATCAAGAAAATATAGAAATTTGCGCAGCTTTCAAATAAAAACACGGGAATAAATTTCGTTTGCAGCGTTGGAAGAAGAGACAATGAAGATTGACTCTATCGAGTTAGGTATAAATTATGCACAACAGGATGGACGACATTGTCACATGGGCACATTTACGAGAAACACACGTAACTGATGGGAGGGATTTTGGATGATGCGACCAATCAAGTGGAATAGTGGAGGAGAGGGACGGGAATGGAGGGGGGATACACGATGAGGAGAAAGATGAAAAATTTGAGGGAGATCGATGAGAGAAAGGAAGAGAATTAGTAAGAGGGAGATATATTGACAATACCACGCTCCCGATCGGCCAGGAGCAATGAATATCCTTCCTCCTAGTCGAGGAAGGTCTTTAAGCAACCCCTAAAGAGTCTTCTTGATCGTTCCTCTGGAGGTCCTAGAACGAGGAGGTCGCCGGATCGCTTGCACACAATGGTGGTGAAGAGCCGTCGTTGAGGGATCAAAAAGCAACATCGCTATGAACGCTTCGCGGCCACGAACCTCTTATCCCGGTGGTAGCTTTTCTGACGCCTCTTGCTTGAAGTCCTGAAACGCCAAAGGATTGATAGGCCACACTCTCAGAGTTTGTACTCGTAATGGAAATCGAAATCAAACGATCTTTTTCCCTTTTGCTCCACGCGAGATCACTATTCTCGTTGAGCTCATCTCAACACATCTTCGTTATCTTCCGACAGATGAGGCGCTTCGCCCAAGATCGCGGTAGTTCATGCACGCAGGCAGGAAGCAAAGGGAACAGCGGGCAAAAGGAAGGGGGGAAAGGAACAGGGGAGGGAAGGAGTGGGCCGGGGCGGAGTGGAGCAGGGTGATAGGAGCGGGGTGGGGAAAGTAATAGGAGAAAAATCGCTAGGGGAAGCGTGTTGAGCGGGGAGAATCGGGTGGGGAGGGAGGGGGCAGCACAGTCGCTCGCACGTGCGCACAAGGGGGATCGGGGTCGAGCAGGGCTGGGGCCGCGGGGGGAGGTTTCGGTGTCGGAGGGTAAAACGCATGGTAGCGGGATCGGGCGGGTAAGGGATCGGGCAAGTAGCTGAATCGGGTGGGTAGTGGAATCAGGCAAGAACAAAGTCACGTTCGGGTCATGGGGGAGGCGGGATTGCAATTGCGAGAAGGGGGGCGAGGGGAAATCGAAGAGGGGGGTTGGTGAGGTGGAGATCGGGATCGGAGGGCAGCGAGATCGAGGGGGAGATGTCGAGCAGTGAAGGGAAAC